AAAATTTGGCAATAAACATAGGTGTGCACGTATCTTTTCAAATTAGTGATTTTTTTCTTCATGTAAATTCCCTGATGTGGAATTGCTGGGTTGTATGGCATTTCAATTTTTAGGTTTTTTGAGGAACCTCCATACTGTTTTCCACATTGGCTGGACAAATTTACATTCCCACCCACAGAGTAGAGGGCTGGCTCCCCTTTCTCCATATCCTCACCAACACTTGTTATTTCTTGACCTGCTGATAAAAGCCATTCTACTGATGTGAAATCATATATCACTGTGTCCTATGTACTTTATATTTTGGATACTATTTCAAATGAAATCTTCAGAATTTAGCTTTCTGCTTTGTTTGCTGGCATATGCAAATATAATTTGATTCTTGTAAATTGATTTTGTATTCACTAACCTCATTAAATTCTACTACTTTTAATAAATTATCTTCACATTCTTTCAGTTCTCTAAGATAATCATATTATCTGTAACTATAATTTTTTCATTTTCAATTCTTATACCATTTATCTAATCATTTTGCTTAATTGTACTGTCAAGGATCTTTAGTACAATCTTGAATAAAGGTAGGGATAATAGTTAACCTAGGTTTGCTTATGACTTAAGGTAATTTTAATGTTTTACTATTAAGGATGATGTTTCCTATAGAGTTCTGATGTATATTCACTTTGATAGCTTCACTTCATTTCTATTCCTGGTCTGCTGAGAGGTGTGTTCTTTTTCCTTTATGTAGGTGTGAATTTTCAATAAAATAGATGCTCTTCTGAATCTGTTGAGAAGGTCATTTGTTTTTCTTCATCCATCTGTTAATGTAGGGATTTATATTAACTCATTTTCTGATATTAAATCAACTTTGAATTATTGGGACTTATTAGATTTTTTTTCATGACACAAGTTACATCTTTATAACACTGTAAAAGACAATTCTGTAGGAGGAATTTTTAAATTGTGTTTCTGAGTGAGATTAGTTTAGTTTGTCTCTCTCAAGTTTTGGTATCACATTTTATTTAGTCTTTTTCAAGTTTGGTATGAATGGTATTGTTTAAAAAAATCAAAGTGTTTGCCTCTTTTTCTAATATATCTAAAATTAGAATTCATTTCTTTTATTCATAGTATTTGCCTTAAGTCACATGTCTGGCTGTTTATTTATAGAAATATTTTTTTAACTGTGGATTTAATTAGATGATTATAGGTATGATGTTTTATATTCTTTCTTCACTCAGTTCTGGATAATAGTATTTTGTAGTAATTTTCCATTCATCTGTGTTAGCAGATTTAATGTCATACATTTTGCCATAGAACTCTCTTACAATTTTAAAAACGTTTTAGTTTTGTCTTGCTGTGGAATAAATTACCACACATTCAGTGACTTAAGTAAAACAGATTTATGATCCTACAATTTCCTTGGGTCAAGAGTCTGGGTATGGTTAGCCAGGTCTTCTGCTCAGGGTCTCTCCAGATTGAAATCAATGTGTCAACTGGGCTGAAATTTTCATCTGAGGCTCAGGGGCCTCTTCCAAGCTCACTGGTTACTGGAAAAATCTATTTCTTTGCAGTCGTAGCCCTGAAGTACCTGTCTCCTTGCTAGTCATCACTGTGGTATTGCTTTCAGCTCTTAGAGTCTGCCCACAGCTCCTTGCCACATGGCACCCACAGGCAGTTCACAGTGTGGTTATTTGCTTTCTGCCAGGCCAGCTGGAGTATCATCTCTCTCTGAATTCCAACTCCTCTCTAGTCTGCTATCATGGAGTTTTATATGAGATAAATTTTATATTTTGACTTTCATTGTTAAGAAAACAGCTGTCAAAATGAGAAGGGTTCTCTAAAAGGGAACCTGTCTTTTCATTCAGGTGACTGTTACGTTTCTTTGTCTTTCATTTTCAGAAATTTTATTTGTGTTCCCATGTGTGTTTTTCTTTTACAGATATTATATTTGGGGGAATGCTAAGTCCTCTTTAACTTGGGGACTATTGTTTTCTTTTGGTTTTGTAAAATTCTCAGGCACTGAGGGTGGCAGTTCTTTCAGTTATAATCCTTGAAATCCTCCACCTCTACTGATGTCATGACGATGTGGGGGAGGGGGAGCATTCCACAGTCGTATGATTAGGTCTCAGTCTTCTAGTGAGTTTGTGTTCCTGCACTGTGACCTTCGCAAGTGCTTCCCAGCTTTTTTATTTCTCGAGTCCATCTCCATCTTGGTGAGGTTCTCATAAAATAGTTTTCCTTGAGGATAGGCTGTTAAGGGGAAAGGAGCTCACTTGGTTTATTTCTGAATGGTTACATTTCCATTCCCCTACCTTTTCTAGAAGCAAGAGGATGTTTTTCTGATCTGCATTATGAGAATCTGGTGGGGATGCTAAAAGTAAACCTCATGAAACTATGAGGGACCCTGTAAGGGGCAGGCACCCAGGAGTTTCATCTCTGAATCTAGCCATGTTCAGTGTCCAGTAACTGGTCAGTTTCTCTTTAAGTGTTCTTACCAGGCTCTGGCTCCAGCTTCTACCTCAGAAAACTGTGATCATCTGTGCTCAGCTGCCTCCCAGGTTTTGGGGCTGCAAACTGCCCTGTGATATCAATTCTCTGGTGGGCCTAAGAAGTGTTGTTGATTCTCACTTTGTTCACCCTATTTTCTTTCTTATTGGTGAGGGTGGGCATAACAACTTCCAAGCCCATTACTCATTTCATGTGGTAGACTTAAATTCATTCTTTGTTTGGTTAGAAAAATTAAATAGCTTACTTAGAATCATGGTTCGAAATTTCCAAGCAAATGAATTTCTTTCCTGTTAACTTTTGGATACTGAGTTCTAACTTAACTACATTATGAGCAGAGAACTTGGTCTGAATGATTCTGTATCATTGAAATGTTTTGAAATTTGCTTTATTTAATAGTATATGGCCTATTTTGAGAAATTTTCCATTTGTGTTTGGTAATATGTGCCTGGTACCTGTTACTAAGTCAGCCAATGTGCTGGGAGAAAATAGTCGACACACTTAAATAGGACCAATGAGGGTACCTTCCATGATGGGGACAGGAGTACAGAAAATCAGAGAGGGATGGTGAAGCACCATGGGTTCTCAGGAAAAAGAGAGCAGGCGCCACCATATAAGGGCAAGGAAAGAGCTGTAGGAAAAGGCCACCCAACTGGGCCTCTGGGACAGCAGGGAAGGAGCCAGGAAAATAAACATCCACATTGACTCTCCTCCTGACTTCCTCTATCATATCATGTAACTCTTATTAGCTGAACCCAAGCAGACCACAGAGGGCAATGAAGAATCTTGATGCAGTCAACAAAAATCTGTCTACAGATCAGAGGGAGAAGGTTTGTACTTGGTTCTAGAGGGGCAAAAGAAAATATCCAGCATACCTGAATTGTAAAGCAGACCAATTAGGATGAGTGGAGCATATGGTTGGGGGAATACAAGCCCTGAGAAAAGGAGATTGGTGAGGCAAAGGAGAGAAAATGTTGAGATTATGGGGAGCGTTCCTGTAAGAGGACACATGGGTCCACAGGTTGCACTAGATGGTATTCGTAGGAGTCCCACCGCAAGTGAGCTGAGGTGATGAGGCACAGGACTGAGCTGTGCAGGGTGACTGCTGGGTGGGAGTAGTTTGGTTTGAAGTAAGAAAAGATAAGGTCAGAATTTAAATAGGAGCCCATGCTAGGTTGGTAGATACAAAGGCATTATTCAGATAAATCTTATAATGTGAGGAAACTGGAAGAGCAGAGGTAGGCTCAGAAGGAGACAAACACAGAGGTTTTAGAGAAGGTTTTATCAGAACTCCTTACATTGATTGTTGCCATGGCAGTGCCAGTGAAATCCTGCCCACAGTCAACCAGAAAATGGCTTTGCAGAAAGAATTCTCTATTCTAAATTCTTCTTGGTTTCCCCCTGTCTCTTTTCTTCCCATAGCAGTACCTCTAATCGTTCCTGGTTCTGCCCATTTAATATGTCATCTCTAGATCAAGGTAGCCCAACCTAGGCCCTACTGACATCCTGAGCTGCATACTTCTTCATTGGGCAGCAGGCTGCTCTTCTGGGTATTGTAGGATGTACTGCAGCATCCCTGGTCTCTACCTACCTAGATGCCAGTACCATACATGCCTCTCTAGTTGTGACAACCAAGTATGTCTTAAGCTGCTGACAAATATCCACAGGGAAGAAAATCATCCCCCCAGTGAACCCTTATTCTTGACTTTAGATGATGAGACTGAAATAGAGGAGAAAGAAGACAGAGATATGAGTAAAGAAAGGGTCTCAGAAAATGTAGTATATTGTTGGTTAAACAAGAGATAGGAAATAGTGTTCATGAAAAATAAGAGGTATACTTAAATTGCACAAAACACATCCAGGCTAGTGACAAAATTTTCAAGCAGGAGCAAATAAATGTTCAGTAAGTTAACCTGCCCTTTTTATTTTCTTATATATGTCACATGAAGTTTTCCAGAACTAGGAGATTTTGTTCTAAAGCTCCCACTCCCGTTCACATTCTAGGGCCGTGGTGCTCTCCCGACATTGCCTTCCCTTGCCCCTGCCCTCTCTCCTCTGCATTAGTAATCCACACGTACTGGCATTCGGCTCTACCTCTTGCTACCTTTGAGAAGTGATGCAATCCTAGTATCATTTCGTGTTTTGGGGGATCTTTCTTAGAGTATTTCGAGGCCACTGTGTAGGATGGTATATACTTGACAGTATATTTCTCCCACCCATTGCTTTTCTTGTAACGTCTACACATCCTTTTGCTTCCCTTATGCCTCCCAGACTGCTCCTTTTTCAAAGCCAGGGGGGTTCCTGGTAATTGACTTTGCCCTGGAAAAAAATGCTCTGCAAAGAATGGGCTGGTCATCTTCTTCACTGTCTTTCCCTTTGAGGAGCATACTGCCTTTCCCCAAGTTTTAGAGAAACTTCTTCATTCCATTACACTCGCCGCTCCAATCATGAATGTATTAGTAAGGGAAGATTGGGAGGCTCAGTCTGTGCTGGAAGCGAAGTCACATAGATGAGAATTAAACCTCAATAGGATCTTCCAGGACTGATGCTGGTAGAAATGAAGCCAGGAATATTCTTTTCCGAAGCTTATCAATTAGTGAGTTTCCCACTTGTAAGGGCTAGGGGATGACTAAGCCAGGTGAGGCAGCTTCCCTCCAGTAGTCCTCCCACTAGACAGAATCTGCCTGGTCCTAGCTGGTCCTCCAAAGGGCCCTCACCATGGCCCCCTTCATTTTCTGTTCCAAAAGCTGTAGATGACAGGGTTGCACATGGGCGTGATGATGGTGGAGAGGGGGCAGAAAGGCTTGTCTTTGTCAGGGCCGTGTGTGCTGTGGGGATTCATGTAGGACAACATGGCCAAGGTGTACAAGAAGGTGACCACAGTCAGATGGGAGGCACAGGCAGAGAAGGTCTTTTCCCGACCTGAGGAGGAGGCTCTTCCGAGGACAGGGGCCGGGATGCGGGCACAGGAGATGACAACGAGCACCACGGGGCCAAGCAGGCCCCTCGGCAAAGATCATTCTCAGGCTGAGCTGGGGGCCCCCTCAGGAGAGAGCAATCACTATGGGGGCCTCACAGAAAAAGTTTTCTATGTGGTTGTCCTTACAGAATGGACCATGAAATGTCATGTGATCAAGCAAGATGCCATTGGTCAGCCCAAATAACCGGGCAGTACTCACCAGCTTCATACAGACCTGCCAGCTCATGATCTGTGCATAGCTCAGGGGGTGGCAGACCGCAACATAGGATCATAGGCCATAAAAGCCAAGAGGATGCACCCGGCCACACCTACCCTGAAGCCAGATACATCTGGGTCCAGCAGGAGGCAAAGGAGAGAGTGTGGTTCCCGGCCACCAGGTGGATCAGCCTCTGCGGGATGGTGGTGGTGGTGATGAAGCAGACGTCCAGGAAGGACAGGTGGCCAAGGAAGAAGTACATGGGGCTGTTGAGCCTGGTGTCTGTCCAGGTGATGAGGATGATGAGGCCATTCATGGCCATGGCAAGGCTGTAGAGGGCCAGGAAGAGGGCAAAGAGCGATGCCTGAGTGGAAGGAGAGCTCTGCTCAGAGTTAACAGGAGGATAAACTCTGCCACTGTGCTCCCACTCCTCAGACACGCTGTCTTGGACCTGCTTGCAGACGGAGGACAGGAGCAGCAC